GTCACTTTTTATGCCGTTGATGCAGTGGACACGTTTCAAAATAAAATATACTGGGGGGGGCCTTTAAAAATAAAAACAAACGTTATAGTACTTTGTGATTTATTAATTCATGCATAAAAGGATTAGAGAAGTGCAGAAGTATTTGCAGCTAAATGGACTTGAAGTATTAAAAGTAAAACCAGCCGCAGATTGTATTTTATCAAAATATTATTAGTTTTTAATTTTTCATTATTAATCTGAAGCTGCAAAGAAAATAAAGTCACCAAATAAAAGTAAAGTACAATATTTTCCCCCTGAAATGTAGTTGAGTAGAAAAATAAAAGTAGTATAAAGTACTATGTCGTTAGTAGTTAGATACTCAAATTAAATACCTCGAAACTGTATGTAAGTACAGTACTTGAATAAATGTACTTAGTTACTGTCCACCACTGTCTGGATGTTCTCTTCTCTGATTGGCTGACGGGGGCGTGCTGTCTGGGCGTTCTGCCAGACACAGGAAGTGGCAGCTCTCCAGCTGACCTCATAATGAGATAATATTGACAGTATGGTGGGTGAGTTTGGCGAGCTGCCGTCTTCTTCTGTGTTCGACTCGCAGCTCTGATTCAGATATAAACAATAAAAAGACATTTTAAAAACAAGAGAGAAAAAAACAAAATCTATCTTAAATTGAAAATATGTCTTTTTGAAAAGCACTTTTTAAAATAAACAATTAAAAAAATAATGTGGTGATATTACAGTACATTTATTTAGTTGTTTATTGTTAGTTGTTAGGATTTACTGCCATGATTTGGCATTTGGACATTTCTCCCAGTAAATAGGAGTTTCTGTCTAATTTAAATTTCACTTCAGGATATATTATATAATATGTCTTTGTATCTCCAAAGTAAAAGCCTGAGTTTCAGCCAGCTGTACCTAATAATGTGGTAACTGCTGTGTTTCAGCCGATGCAGGAAGACGCCGCTCTTCAGCCTGAAGCTCCAGCGGATCGACGGACGGTACGTTTCAGCGGTGAGTTTGGCTGAAACACTTCCTGTGTTGTAATCCGATTACTCTGAATCTTCACGTGCTCTGAAGTTTGTTGGTTCCCCAGTAACATTATCCAGATCACATGGTGCTGACAGTACACGCTAATATTATACTGTTGTTATAAATATACTCATTATTAGTATTTATTCCACATTAATGAGCAGAGAGGTGACCGCTGTCGCTTAGTAACAACAAACAAAACATTAAAGAAGAAAATAAAATGAACAAATATGCAAATGAGCAAACAAGCTGTTACATATTCAGTAGTCAGTTAAAAGTTATTACTTGATTTCATCAGACCGGTTAAATGTGGAAGCAAATGGAAATATTTCAGTCTTACAAGCAGCTGAATAACTATGATGTCACTTCTGAATACTTTAATTTAATTTAATCCGAGTGTTTCTAAATTTTTTAGGCTTCAACAAAATATTTAAAACTTCAAATATGAGCAGTTTGCAAACAATTCTGATTCTTGGTGCTTGAAGTATTTAGTAGTGACATTTCAGTTATTCAGATGCTTTTAAGATTGAAATATTTTGTGCTTTCATATTTAACTCTTTGATATTTTTGATGTTGAATATTTTATTTGAGTTGAACAGCAGCGGTGGACGAGGTGTTCAGATCCTTTGCTAAAGTAGAAGTACTAATACCACGTGGTGTATTAACCCTAAGCTTCTGTTACAAGTAGAAGTCCTGCTTTGAAAATGTTAGAGGTCATATTCTGCTTTCTGGCTTTTCCCCTCTCCTTTATTGAGTTTAAATCTTTTTAGTGCTGTAACAGGTTTGCAAAGTGAAAAAGCCCAAAGTGAGTTCCCATCTCTCACAGAAAACTCTGCTCTGAACTGAAAACAGCTCGTTTGTAGTCCAGCCGCTTCCCTTTCATCCCTGTGACGTCAAAATAAGATGAGGAACCTGAAAATGAGCAGAATACAACCTCTTTAAGTAAAAGTAGAATGTAAGTAATTAAAATGTCCTTAAAGTATTACAAGTAAAAGTGCTAAAGCAGCTAAAGGAACCTCAAAATGATAAAAACATATTAAAATATTCAAAAGGAAAAGCATCAAATCTTCACATCAAATGTTTTTATGTAAAAAATGATTATCAAAATAGGACCAGCTGTACTTGTATAAACTGTTTAATTTATAACAAACATCATATTTTATGTACTCTTCGTGTTTTTGTGTGTAGAAATCTGACTAAAGCTGCCAGATAAGTACAAGGAGAAAATACTCAAGCAAAGTACAAGTACCTCTAATTTGTACTCAAGTGCAGTACTTGAGTAAATGTACTGTCACCAACATGTCTACCTCTGTTGAATAGTGCGTGTATTAATAAAGCTTCATTTAATCCGTTCTTGTTGTCAAAAGCAGAACAAACTCATTTAATGATGCTCAGCTTGACTTTCTATCCAACATGAATCATTTTCATGTGAATATCTGATCTTCCAGTCGTGTGCTGAGGACGAGCCGGTGCGTTTAGAAATATCTCCCGTGAGCCACAGGTTACGTGATCAGACTTCTAAATACCTTTTAGTTACCTCGCTGCCTCTTTACCTGACAGTCTTCTAAATTAATAATTGAATTCTTCATTCAGTCAACAAGTAAAAGCATCGCTCTGATCTGTTTGTGTCTGTAAACCTGTTCTCTGTAACACAAACCGTCGTCTGCGTCCAACACAAAGAGCCCTCGTACTCTTTAATAAACTCATTACATGATTCGGGGCTGGAAAGTAGTTCACTGTACTTTTGAAGTTCTTCAATATTTTGCTGCAGTGTTTCTGCTCGTGGACAGGAAGAGACAAACTTGATCATGAGGATAGAAGATGAAATATACTTAATAAACTACCAGACAAAGAGTTAAACACTCTGTAAAACATATTTAAAGTATACTGTAAGAACAAACTGGACGAAACAGAAACATGATTTATTTTGTGGAACATTTTTTATTGGTGCATTTATCAAACACAGATTCCTACACTTCTTTCTTTTCTCTCTGAAATCATCTTCAAAGTTAAACCAGTAAATGTAATTTGAAGTTTTATTTTTCCTGCTCATGCAGTGCAGAAAAAGTGTCCTGATGAGGCCCGGTGACCTCTGACCCCCTCGTTAGCTCTTTAGCCAATCAGATAAATGCATTCTCTAACAGGACTTTATAAGCATCCAATAAGAAAATATACAAAAACAGATTTTTTTGTCTTTCAGAGAATATGCAGACGTTTAGATGTAGAAAAACACTTTCTCTCAGGATGATTGTAAACCAGAGACAGCAGGGAGGTCTCACTCCGCCCACAAAACCACCACCGGAACGTTTTCCCTCCTCCGGCTGCGTTAACATTTCTCACGCCACGAAAAAACGGATTCCATCCACACAAAACGACGACGAGGAACCAAGAAAGGGATGACGGACCAGAGAACCCACCTAACCGTTATTCATCAAAGCACAGGACTACAAGGACCAGAATGCATTGTGCAAGCAGGAACATAAAAGGAGAAAAACAACAACAACAAACACCTGACGGGTTCCTTCATTTCTCCCCCGATGAGTTCATATCTCATGAATTTCCTCCTGCATTTTTTAAAAACAGAAAAATAAAACAAAAACTTGATTTTCGCTCTTTTTGTTCCGACAAGGAAACGTCCGTTTGTTTCCGTCGTCCTCCACAAGAGTCCAAGTGCTACATCTTCCGTCCGTCCTCCATCACAGTGCGTTTGTTACAGATATTCATATATATATATATACTGCATTTCCCAGCATGCCCCTGCTCACACACACACAAGGACACACTGCTCCTCCATCAGCGGAGATGGAGGGATGAGATGAAGAGGAGAGAAAAGTCTGCTCGACCACACGGTGTCGCTGTTTCCCCAGAAACAAAGTCGGTCACTAAAAACTCAGCACCAGCGGGAAAAAGGCCATTTTTGATTGGTTCATTTTTGTTTTGCGCAGAACATTCGTTTTTTATTTTACAACAAAATGAGTATTTAGAAAAGAAAATGATGCGACTCCTCCCCTTGGCATAACCCCGCCCCTTGTGGCAGAGGTGGGCGTGGTTAACTGTACCCCTGTAGCTGCCCCGCCCCCCAATAAGAAAAGTCTTTGGCAGATTTATAGAAGGGAAAGGCTTCTGCTGCTGGAGGTGGGCGAGAGACATAGAGGAAGAATGAGAGAGCGAGCTTTTATATTCATGATTACAGTCACAGAAACGAGCCACAACATCCAAACTATTAATCTGTGAATCAGCAGCATATTAATCTGACAGGTTTGATTCAGGCTGATCGTTTTTTTATAGCGTTTATAGACGACTCGATGTCTGCTGTACGACGCTAGCTCGTCCTGTACGTCTGTTAAACTACGTTAGCTTCAGTAGCCACAGATTTAACTGCTTTTAGGCGTCGTCAGTCACATCAAACTAATTTTTGTTGGATTCTACTGGCAGTTCATTTATTGATATAAAACCAGATTAAAACGTTACGATTACTTTATGTCGAGTATATAAATATAATATCATAGAACATGTGAGCTAAATTGGTAGAAGCTCTGAGGAAAACAATCCAATTTTACTTTTGCTGACTTTTCTCTGTGACCTCGAAATGGAGCTCCTGAAATCACAAACTAAGATTTTATATATATATAAAATAATATATCTTGTGCACAGAAGATCTGCATGTTGTTTGCATTTGTTCTCTAATGTGGCGATTTTTGGACTGAAGAATCTCCTCAGACTCAAACAAAAGACGCTTTTCACAACTTTTTGTTTTACAGTTTCTTCACAAAATGATTAATTGAATATACTGATTGAAGTTGAGGCTGGTCAGCTGCGTACCGACCAATCAGAGAGAGAGTTTAGGTGATGATGATTGAAACTGAATTATGATCCGTGAACTGATTTTGTTTGCAGTTTTAATGAAGTCTTTTGAACAACTGTCACATTATTAGTTATCAGTCCATTCAGAGGCGCATTCATCTGTCCTGAAGGGCTGAAGTTCATGAGTGTTGACTTTTGTTGCTGTGTGTTTCAGCTGTGGCAGATTTCTGACGGTCATCATCAGAGAAACTGGCTTGGACTAACAGAGAGCTGGTGGACGTGACTGAAGCTCAGGTATCTGTTTCTGCTGGTGTTCATGCAGAAAAGATGATGATCAGCTGATGAGTTTCTGTGTGCATTTCTCCACAGACTGAAGCTGGACTGCACTGACCTGTTTCAGACTCCCCTCAGGTAAATATCTGCTACAATCACTGCGTGTTGTGATGCGGCAGAGGCTTCAGCCGGCAGCTCGCTCTGAAATCTGGTGAGAGGCGAGCTGTTGCAGGAAGTGTGAGTCAGAGCTGGAGAGGGGAGTTTGTGTTGGAATAATGTTAGGAAATAAAGTCTCGCTAACAGCTCCTCTACGTACACAAGAGTCTCCTCTGCCTCGTTTCCACCGGCGTCTTCCTGCAACAGCTCGCCTCTCACCAGATTTCAGAGCGAGCTGCCGGCTGAAGCCTCTACTGCACGGATTCAAAACCTTACGTCCCTACGAGTCATTTAAACACCAACATCAGTGAAAGAAGGGCCCAGGTTTAAAAATACTGAAACTGCCCTTTAAGTAAAGGTGACTTGTCTGGAGTCCCTAATGTTTGTGTTCGTTAGCTTTAAGTTATGCACACAAGATATTAAACAGGAAATTAGATCCATCGTGTTTTAGGACTTTGCTGCCTTTAAAGTAACAAAAACACACTAGTGTTGTAGTACTCAAGACGGGTCTTAAGACCACTTTTTGATGGTCTTGTCTCGGTCACTGAGGACTCGGGATTTAATTTCAAGAGCAGTGAAGACGTAACTTTGGGAATATCAATAAACTGCTTTTGATGAATGTAAAACTTATTGCTTCAAATTAAACCAATGACCCTAATTAAAAATGTGTTACCGTTATCTTCTAGGGCTTTACTGGTGTGCAACAATAATCTGCGTACAAAGTCCTAAAGATAATATTGTTTATTGTATGTGCACAAAGATCCAGATCTTGTGTGCACAAGCAAATCATTTCTCCCGACGCGATAAAACAAACATCGTCTTTTGGAAGTTTGAACCGCTGGTGTGGCCCTTTAAGTTTTATTTGTTGAATAAAAAAGGGTTGGATAGAAAAATGGATTTATACTCCAAAGTACAGTTTTGGCATCTGTACTGAACCTCAGGCATGATTTTGGCAGCAGAATTAAAACATGTGGCAGTAAAGAAGCAGCAGGACGTTTATCCAGCGTTAAAACCTGCATCATGTCTATTTAACATGAGTCAATGGAGTCTCTACATGTCACCCACAGCGGATCTGTCAGAGCAGAAACGTGCATTACAGAGACTCCACATCCAGCTCCAGGCTCCTCCCACCAGTGACCTCAGCCTCCTCTGATAGGCTGAGCTGTGTTCAGGCGAGACGCAGCTGGATTAGTTTCCTGCCTCAGGTTGGTTGTTTCTCCTCAGAGTGACGGGAGGACGGCGTTCTGTCCCACTGGAGGAAGAGGAGGACGAAGAGCAGGGGGTGCTATGAGGAGGCGAGGATGAGGAGGAGGACGAGCAACATGGCGGACAGCAAGGAGAGGCGGGGCAGAGCGAAGCCGCAGCCGCCGGTGGTGTCGTCTGTCAGGAAGGGCTCCGGAGACTCGTACACAGAGTCATCTGAGAGAGACACAAACAGTAAGTAATCTCACATGGACTAAAGATAAAGAAGAATACATTTCATCTGTGGTATTTAGCTCCTCCCCCTGAATGACGTCATCCCTGACCTGCAGGTTCACACCCATACTCAGAAAATGTCCTGGTTGATGGAGACGTTAACGCTGCACAGGAACAACACTGAAGGCTTCATCAGTTCTGACTGGCTCAGGTATTTAACGTCTGTGGGGTCGTTATCTAAGTGATGCCGCTTGATTCGTTAGTGCTCCTGTCCTGGCTGTTGTGACGACAGGCGTGCGATTCACCTGAGGCCAAATGAGTGTTTGGAAGAGATGAAAGGACAGCGTTGTCGGTGGGGGATAAGTGGCGTCTCAGCCCTCCTCCACAGAGATGGTCTCTCTATTCTGGTCTAAATCGCTTCTTTCTCGTCGTTCCAACCATCTGTCCTCCCTGTCCAGAATATGAGCATTGTTGGCGCTGAAAGTGTCTCTTCTCCTTCAGATGTAGGTAAACTGCTGAGACCTGAGGAGTTCTGTGCTGAGCCATGCGTTTGTGTAGTGGTTGTTTAGTTTCCCCAGTATATTCAGGCCTCAGCAGACACTAGATTCTTGTCTTGTCTTTGGGGAGGACCAGCATCTGTCTTAGTGTGTTCTTGGGTTTAACAAACACAGGGATGTTGTGTTTGTTGAAAATCCTCCTGAGTTTCTCGGATACTCCAGACACGTATGGAATCACGAGGTTGTTGCGTTCGACCTTCTTCTCCTCGTCCCCTGTAGTTTTGGTCTTCCTGGATCTGTCCGCAGGCTGTAAGTGCCCCCTTCAGGTGTTTATCCTCCTCCTCTTGGGCTTTGGTACTTCTTGGTGGGTTCTGGTGGAAATCAAAGTGTAAGTATTGTCTGTATGGGGGTGTGTTCCTGTAAACTTCAGTCCAGGAAAGCCAAACTGTTGGTGACGTGTGAACTTGGCGTTACTGTTCGCAGAGTTGATGTGTTCTGTGAAGGCTTGCACTTCCTGGGTTTTCATTTTGACCCCCGTGTCGTCCACATACCTGTTCCTCTGCTTTCTGCTCCAATAGGAGACCCCGGTGAGCCCACGGCACAGCCGTGCTTCTGTCTTTCCGTTGTACTGGAAATAGATGGTGTTCAGACAGAAGTCCAGCAGTTCACACTCTCTCCACGGTTTCATCTGGGCCAGTTTCAGTCCTCGAACCTTTTTCACAAAGCCTACGTAGTTTTGGATGTGTTGAGGTCTGTTGCTGACCAAGGGGACTGGGACAGTTGTCAGTGTTGGCTAATGTTGGGGGTAACAGAGTTGATGCTGCTGGTCATGGACCGGAGGCTTTCTTCTTAAATCCACTGGTGGGATCTCAGTTCAGTGTTTCATATGTATGAGCTCACTGAGTGGTGCGTTAACCCAGGCACGGTGGTCCCGTGTTTAGGACCATGGTGCACCTTCCCTTGACAGCAGGTAGGATAGTGATGTTACTGCCTCCCTTTCCTGAGCGGTGAGGGTGGAAAGTTGTTCCTGTAGCTGTTCTGCTTCTGTTAAGTTTCCCTTATGGCTGATTCTGTAGCTGTGATGAGGTCAACTGTTGGTAGCTGCTGTGGTGTGATGGCAACTTTAATCCGTTGGACAGAACGTCTCGCTATGGTTAGTAGAGTTCCCGTTCTTACGGGTTCTTCACGCAGCTGTTGTCTGTTTCATACAGTGTGGATTTATCATTCTTTTGCCTCCAGGTAGGTTCTTCTGTGTTCTTAGTGTTACCAGCTTGTGACCCAGGTTTTTAAATTTCCGGGTCTATCCTTGCTCGCTCTTGGAGTGGCGAGATAGTTGAGCTTTTTTGATGAAATGATCTCTTCCAAACCTGTACTGGGCAGATGGTGTTTCCAGTTTGTGGTCTAAGCCCTCAGACTTTATTCAGGGCTTCACTGGGGAAGTTGATCTGTTTCACTCTCACTTAGTAGCTGGTATTGTGTCTTCTCCAGGATCATTCCAGCTCTGAGTCCTTTCACCGTGGATCCTTGGTATAGGCCTATGTTGTTGGCATCTCAGGCTAAACCCTGTGTGATTATTGTAGTCTGCAATTTTCTGAGTGTCCCAACATGCTTAGAAAGATGTCTGTTTCTAAATGTCCAGTCCCCCTTGATTTTAACCATGACCTGGATGACATCTTTCTAAGCATTTTGGGACACCGTCAGAACGGTACGGAAAGTGGCAGACTACAGAAATCACGTACCCTTTATCCTGAGACGCTGACAACATAGACTCATACGGAAGAGCTGGAATGATCCTGGAGAAGACACAATACCAGCTCCACCACTGAAGCCCTGACTTACTCTACAAACTGGAAACACATCTACTCAGTACAGTGTTGGAAGAAAGCACGATAATTCCAAAACAGACAACAGCTGGGTGAAGAACCCGTAAGAATGGGAACTCTCCTAAACATAGCGAGACGTTCTGTCCAATGGATTAAAGTTGCCATCACACCACAGCTGCAGAATCAGCCATAAGAAAAAACAACTTCACAGAAGCAGAACAGCTACTGGCACCACTTTCCAACATCCAGGAAAGAAAAGCCGTGACATCACAGGGAAGGTGCAACCTGGTCCTAAACACAGGGGACTACCCTGCCGGGGTCAGCGCACTACTCAGTGACACTAATGAAACTCTCAAGTGAGATCCCGCAAGAACAAGGCCATAGTGTGTCTACAACAGCTACAGAAGAAGAAAATCAGCACCTGGGAACACCTGGGCTACCCGAGACACACAAAGAAGGAACCCTTTCTCAGGTCCATTATCAGCAGCATCAAATCGGTTACTACAACATTGTCAAACACTGTCCGAGCCCCCTTGGCTGACAACCCACCTCGCCACATCCAAAACTCGACTGACTTTGTGAACAAAGTTCAAGGACTGAAACTGGACCCAGATGAAACCATGGTGACAGTGGAAAAGGTCACGACTGCTGCAAGACAACGTCCCAAACAGCAGAACAACCTCTATTTCCAGCAAAACAGGGGATTCTGCAGACAGAAGCACGGCTGTGCCGTGGGCTCACCGGGGTCTCCTATTGGAGCAGAAAGCAGAGGAACAGGTACAGGTATGTGGACGACACGGGGGTCAAAATGAAAACCCAGGAAGTGCAAGCCTTCACAGAACACATCAACTCTGCGAACAGTAACGCCAAGCTCACACGTCACCAACAGTTTGGCTTTCCTGGACTGAAGTTTACAGGAACACACCCCCATACAGACAATACTTACACTTTGATTTCCACCAGAACCCACCAAGAAGTACCAAAGCCCAAGAGGAGGAGGATAAACACCTGAAGGGGGCACTTACAGCCTGTGGACAGATCCAGGAAGACCAAAACTACAGGGGACGAGGAGAAGAAGGTCGAACGCAACAACCTCGTGATTCCATACGTGTCTGGAGTATCAGAGAAACTCAGGAGGATTTTCAACAAACACAACATCCCTGTGTTTGTTAAACCCAAGAACACACTAAGACAGATGCTGGTCCACCCCAAAGACAAGACAAGAATCTAGTGTCTGCTGAGGCCTGAATATACTGGGGAAACTAAACAACCACTACACAAACGCATGAAGGGCCAGTTCCTCAGGTCAGGACTCAGCAGTTTATCTACGTCTGCAGGATAAACCATCTGTCAATGGGGGAGGAGACACCACTTATCAGCCACCTACAACGCTGTCCTTTCATCTTTTCCCAGGAGAACAAGTGACTCAAACTACTGTCGTCACAGGATCCATCACTTTGACCCCCAGCAAGTCATTCGGACCTGAAGAAGCCTCTTGGATGTGAAGCGAAACGTCTTCGAGTATCTTCAACCAAGTCCAGTTGCCCTTGATTTTAACCGATCACTCAATAAAGATTAAGTTCTCTGATCTTCAGAATAAAAGCAGACTGTTGAGTCGGGTCAATTTTGTTTATACAGCCCAAATTCACAAATCTAAAAAAATTACTCTTTTAAAGTTTGGTCATGTGTTATTTTCACCCAGTGATCTGCACATTAGCCAATCAGATCTGATTATTAATGTAGAATTTCTGAGGGTGAAGTTCAGGAGACTTTGTACACTGTCTAACATGCTGTGACCCCTGAATGCATCATTTTAACAGTTTTTAACTGTAATTACTTACTTAGGAGCCTGAAGATGTTTTGTAAATAAGAAATAAACACTACCAGTCAAAAGTTTCAGAACATCTCCATGTTTGTAGTTGTTCTGTAAATCTAAGTAGTTTCAAAGTTAAAAACAAGGTTTACGTCACCAAAACAATTTCAGATCTACAATTAAATGAAGGCGTTTTGTTCATTATTTCACTGTAGGATCAACTGATGACCAGCTGCTCTGTCTGCCTTCATTAATTATATATATATATAATTAGTCCAAATAAAGCTTCTGAGGTGCATTAACAGGCTGTTCCAAGGCGTTTCCTTAGAAATATGGTTCATTTCCTTCCACTGCTGCAGAATAATCAAAGAAGATAAAGACAAAGTTCAGGTCAGATAAAGAATTTTTAGGGATCAATAACGAGTTAACAACTTCTGCAGCAGTGGAAGGAAAAGAAGCCTTTAAAGTCATTACTTATATTTCAATACACACTAGAAACATGGGGCTGTTCTGAAACTTTGAGCGGTAGTGCGAGTTCTTCTAGTATTGACTGTCGCAGTATTACGTCACTGACTCTGGGATGAACGTGAGTTCTTCTGTTGCTTTAATGTAACAAAATCCTAAAAGTCAGTCCTAATCAGTGTTTCTGCTGGAAAACTTAATCACTAACCTGCTTTTCCTGCCGTTTTGTTTTAATATAGTTTTATATCTCGGCGTTTAGAAATGTGTAAAAGAGCAGCGGCTGTTTGTGAACGCTGCTCTGTGGCCTCTGTGTGGCTGAACGCCTCCTGCACAGACAGTTTGTTCACACATGGAAGCAAATAAAGTTCAGATTCTTCTAATCAACTTCATCAAACAGACATCTGAGAACTGAAGACTTTCATTTAGGTTTTAAAGGACAGGCTGTCTTATTAAAGGGACATTACTTAAAATACTTCACACACAGGAGATCTACAGAAGTAATGTGTGTCAGTCTCTTCAGTAACAGCAGATACGACTGGACGCTACAGAAAGATCAACTTTTAATATCCAGCAGGAGCCTGAACTTCACACGGAGACGCTGCTGCTGTTAGATGTTCAGTTTGCTTTAACGTGATAACCGTCATTATCAGTACTCTGTAGGATGATACAGAAATTTCTAAACAGGATCAAACGGTTGAATCTCTACGTGGGTGCACATATTATTAATCAGATCTCCTGATTTAGAAGCAATAAAAACAAACCGGCCGTCTTTTTAAAATCCTTGATTCTTTATCCTTCTGAGACGCTTCCTTTCTTTTCATTATTTTACTTTCTGTCTGTGTCTTCGTGCTCTCTGTTGTGTTGTAACGAACTAATACAGATGCCTGTTTGTGTTCAATAAAGTGGGAAAAAATGAACTTTATTTCCGTATGTTTCACCGGCAGAATCAGGACGCCGTTCAGAGCTGCGTTCACAACACAGACCGCCGCCTGCAACGATGTTATAAACGCCAGCTGGAGATCTAAAGCTATAGTAATAGATAAAACATGGACCGGCGGGGGAAAGGAGACGAGTAATGACCTTAGCAATTTCAATCTACAAACGTACCAAACAGTGAAACCAGAGAGAGTCGGGCTCATTAACAGGAAATGATTCTCAGCCGTCCGAAGAAAGTTAACGTTAAGGGCAACTGCACTGGTTGAAGAGACTTGAAAGATGTGAATATAAAACTTGTGCTTTGGATGTCGAAGCTTCAGAATTAAAGGACAAAGTTTCAGCAAGAGGAAGAGGAGACTCACTGGTTGGCTTGACGTAGATTTTGAGCTTCAGACAGGGTTTCCCAGCCAGGTTTGGATGTGGAGACGCTGCAGAGAGAAGACAGCAGATCAACTAGGGCGACAAAAAAAATGCACTTTCTTGACAAAGTGTCCGTTAAATCTAGCTGCAAAACAGACACTGACAGCAGCTCGTGTTAAACTCTCTGCCGGTTGCATTAACACCACTAATAATAATAATATCAGACCTCAGGAGGATGATGATGATGATGATGATGATGAAGGTTTGTGTAAAAGTGCTTTGCATCAAACTGTTCATGAAAAACAACAAATAAATTAAAAGGTGATGAATTCTATTCTAATTATTGGACCCGTCTATGGTTTCTGATGTCGTCAGTGTGACGATGAAGATTACGTTCAGCCCTAACAGGTTACGGTCACCTGGGTCTGTCTGAAGCCCCGCCCCTCCAGGTGTTTGTCACAACATGCCTCTGATGCTGCTGCTGTCGTCGCTCCCAGCAGGGACGAAAACAAGCTCGCCCTCAGCGTTTCTCTGTGGGCAAACAAACACCCGGGAGCCGTTTGTCCCTGAAGCGGAGGGAAACGTTTAGCTCCATCACACAGCCGGAATCCAAAAACCCAATTTTAAATAACGGTCTAGTTTAGGTTTCTGCAAATTCCTTTTTTTTTGTTTCTCCATTTGAAGACAGACATTAGGAAAAAGCCCAACGGGTCTAGAAGAAAACTTAAACAAAGTGATAACATGCGCTCTGATATTGTTCATGTATCTATTTTCACAGCGAGCGCTCTGATTGGTGCAGCCCAGTTCAGTTTGACCTCAGTAAATTCTGCTTGCAGCGTCAGCTGAGCTGCTGTTCGCCCTCTCCGCCAGCAGGGGGCAGTATGAGTTTGTGTCTGTTTGAAATCCAGGTTATTGATCCAGATGGATTTAATGTTCTTTGCACCACCAGCTTCAGCTCAGAGTTCAGCTGTGACTGAAACATGGAGACACAGCTGCTCTCTCTGCTCCTGACCCAGCGTGGAGAATATACAACATTATGTCCCGCAGAGAATCCAGACACATCATTTATTCAGCATGTGAGCGCATACATTCTTAAAATGGCATTAATAAATATATAAATGTTATGACTAGGACAGACGGTCGGGACGTTTTACGAGCTCAGCGAGACCTGAGGGTCAACAAAGACAGCCTCTTACTGTCAGGGAAGGAGGAGGTGCTCAGTGCTTTGAGGGACGCCATCAGAGATAAGGAGGCCACATGCTGAGCTGCTCATCTGCTCATTTTTTTACTTTAATTAGGGGTCCAAGCCCGAGCGGAGCTGGGAACCCTATTGTTTTGTATTGGTTTTTTTCTTCCGTGCATAAAAGTGACACTGCGGCCTACAGACGCGACACTCTCAGGGTAGCTTCACAGCCCCGAGAGTAACTTGGGTGCAAAAATTCGCACACTTCTACCTCTAGGTGGCGCTAAAAGCAAGGTCAACGCGTTTGGGCTTGAACTCCTGAAGACGAAAGCGGATATCAAAAACCTTCATGATAACCTATTTTAATTAACTCCTCCGAAGCAGCAAGTCCGATCGGAACCAAACTTTGCACGGAACATCTCTGGACCGAGCTGGTAAAACTTTGTAGAGGAAATTTTGATTCGCAAAATAATGTCCCAATTTTAAGCTAACAAATGTTTGCGAAAATGTGATGTCATATCGTAGCTTTGCAATGGCCGATCTAAACCAAACTCGGGGACCTTATGTGGCACGCACTCCCGAGGGGCTGTGTGAAATTTGGTGTCAATCGGCCTCTAGGTGGCGCAATTAATCCTATATGAAATGACACTCCCATAGACATCCATTCATTTTACTTCATACATAACTGGAAGTCCCTTTAATTTCAAACTCAACTGTAGTAGTACTCTGAAATACTCAGCAGTACTTACAGATGTAGTAGTACTCTGAAATACTCAGCAGTACTTACAGATGTAGTAGTACTCTGAAATACTCAGCAGTACTTACAGATGTAGTAGTACTCTGAAATACTCGGCAGTACTTACAGATGTAGTAGTACTCTGAAATACTCGGCAGTACTTACAGATGTAGTAGTACTCTGAAATGCTCGGCAGTACTTACAGATGTAGTAGTACTCTGAAATACTCAGCAGTACTTACAGATGTAGTAGTACTCTGAAATGCTCAGCAGTACTTACAGATGTAGTAGTACTCTGAAATGCTCAGCAGTACTTACAGATGTAGTAGTACTCTGAAATGCTCAGCAGTACTTACAGATGTAGTAGTACTCGTGTCCGGGCCTGAACTCGAAGCCCAGGCTGAAGGGCGTGAAGAGCTGGAACTTCTCGGAGAACTTGAGGGGCCCGTTGGGGCTCTGGGGCCGGTTGCACTCCCAGCGTTTGAAGCCCTTCCTGTGGTGGTCGCAGCTCGTGTAGCCGTCGTAGTTCACCATGTACAACACGTAGTGCTCCATGCGCTCGGCGGGCTCCGCCACCTCGTAGTGCGGACAGTAGATGTCCAGGTAGTCGTTGATGGCCACCTCCACCGTGTAGTCGCCCCGGAAGAACCTGAGGAAGAGAAGTGATGTCATTTCCTGTTGTCTCCAGCTGTTAACAGCTGTGCTAAAAACAAACACCTTCCCAGAGAAAGAAGTGAGGTCGCTGCTCTGTGAAGCTCTACAACCTAAAGACACGTTCACGTGTTCAAAGAGACACACCTGTTCACACCTGCCTCAGCGAATCACAGAGAGCTTTACTGCCAAGCAGTATTTTACATGTACGAGGGATTTACTTACAAAGACATAAACATCCTGGTGACATTAATAGATTTAAAAACATATAAATACGGAATAAACAGATGCAAGTTAGAGAAGAATTAAAGAAAACAAAATGTTATTTTCATTTACTCTGAAAATAGAAGGGAGAGGATTTGTATTTATATAAGAAGTGACAAAATATCAAAGAATAATAAGGAATATGTGCAATAAGACTGTGTGTGTTGCGAAGGGGGGGAAGCATCAGTGTTATTTCCCGACTGGGAACAACAGCTCAGAAAGTCTGAGAGAGTTTTGGCGTCATACATGTAGAAACGTTTGATTAAAAGTGTGAAATCATGTATTGCATTTAAATGTTTTGCTAAGGTGTCATTTTTAAATGCTGTCCCTGTCGAGCGACCTAGATTAATTAGGAAAGGTATGTATTTGCAGTACAAGCAGTATTTTAGTGGTTCCAGGTACTGGTGCAGTAACAGCTCTTTGATGAGATCTTTGTAGCGGCGTCCGTGTTGTTTAAACGTTAAAGCGGCTTCACAGCTCGGGACGTGGGGCCCTCGGAGGAGCACCTGAACGCAGCAACAATCAGAAACGCTTCAAGACCACGTGAAGCTCTTTGATTGGCTGTTTGTTAGTGAACTGCACCCTGGGAGTTGTAGTCTTCTTCACTTTATGTCATACACAGCTAACAGTTAGCAACGTGTGGAAACATTAGCCACCAGCTAACGAGTAAACAACCTGTTAGCAACAAGCACATGTTGTAGTTATTCTCAGCAGTGGACGAAGTACACAAATACTACTACTGTACATCAGTAAAAGTAAGTACATAAGTATTTTTAAAAGTAGTCCTTAAGTATCAAAAGTAAAGAGTGCTGATAGCGTGATGACAGACAGAATTTAATAATACTCGAGGAATCAAACACTGTTATTATAAACAGCTTTCAATGATAATTTAATACTCAGTTATATATATATTATATATGTGTGTGTATTCAGATACTTAAGTAAAAGTCCTGCATTGAAAATGTTCTTAAAATAAAAGTATGTAAGTATAACCAGGAAAAAGTACTTGAAGTATTAAAAGTACTCACTGTCCTGTGACTGTTATACTATTATATATTAGATGATTATTATTCCTCATCATTAAAGTAAAAGCAGGATTTTACTGCTGTAGTTGTTGATTTTAACTGTTTAGCTAATTTGTACGCAAGTACTTGAGTACTTAATTACTGTCCACTACGTGTTCTAGTTATTATTTTAACACCAAGAATAATTAATTAAAGTATTTTAATCCAGTTTTAATGCATTTCATGTGTTCGTGTATTCTCAGGCCTGCTGAGCCGCCGTTTACCTCAACACATGGAAACCGTTGATCACTGTCTGCGTGTGTGTTCCCCCCCGAGGCTTCAATTAATCAGAAGTAACTGTTTATCGCAGCGCCGTCGTGTTTACAGACGGGAGATCCGACTCGCAGCTGGACTCACTTCCTGTTTGCTGCCAGCGCTGCTCAAACCCGTGTTAAACAAAGTTTTACAAGGTTTTCTGATGATGTCACACGTGTCTGTCGCCGGTACAAAAATACACAGAAATAGTTTTTGTTACACTAAAATCTAATAATACCACAGAGCAGAACTGAACTACCTCACTGCTGTAAATCAGCCGCCATGATGGTGAGCTGCTGGACAGGATGTGGGTTTTGTTGTTGATTTGATTTAAGTCAGATTTCACGTCAGGTCAGTGTGTTCTGTCCTGTGAATAAGAGCATGAAAACAAACTGAGGTGTTCCAGACTCAGACGTGAATCATGGCGACGTACGGCGAGTGCTCGCCTACAGCAGCCGGGCTATTACGCTACCTGGACTCTTTCCACCTGAGGCAGCAGTGGAAGCTCCCCGTGCTGATGCTACCGCTGCTGTACGGTGGCCAGGAGGGGGCAGCGTGGTGCACAAACCTCTTTCAAATATGAAACGTTACGTTGACTTCAGGACAGAGACAAACAACATGCACCACTGGAAGACGGTCTGTTTCTGGTTTCTGGTCTCCAGGATGAAGCCGCTGCCCTGTCGAAAAATGCTACCATGTGTTCCCATTTCCAATCCCATACAGGTATAACTCTGTTTTTTGATTATATTATAACATCATTTCAAGGGCAGCGTATTCTGACTAATATCTCCCATCAAATAAAAGCTCCCACTACAGAATCATTTTCTATCGCACCACTACTCACACTGCACTGTACGGAGATGGGGAGCATGTTGAAATACTATATTATGCCATCTTTATTTAAGATATCAGGGGCAGCGTATTCTGATAGACTAATAATTATTTTCTTTTTCATATTGCTGACGATCAGCCGGCTGTACAGGCGCTCTGAGGTCTCAAACTCACCCCGAGGGCCACATCAGGCCCCTCCTCACCCATCATCTGGCCGTATTATTTTTTTATTTAATGGTATTTTATAGCGGTTTCACGCCAATTCAAGCTACCCTTTCTGAAATAATTAAAATAAAAACACAGCTTTTAAACGTCTTCTTTTACTTGAAAGACCAAGTAAAAACAGAAGGTGGACGATGAACACAGAGTTTAACAGAAATGCTACCTGCCTGATGTGCAACGACAGAGTTGCTGTTTTAAAGGAATATAATATAAAGCTACTGGACTCAGAGGACAACACGAGGATTTATATCATAAAGCAGGAGGCTGAAGCAGCAGGTTACGTGGTGACTGAATGAGAGCCGTTCACCCAAGGACTGCATGGTGAGAGTTTGTTTTTAAAAGAGCAAAGACGGTGGCGGAGTTACCCGACAAAGTTAAAGCTGCCACAGCACACTCATAAAAACATACAGCCAACAACGCTCGGCTCGCCATTTTCACCAGGGGTATTAATCTGAAGTTATTTCAGCAGCTGTGTGACGCGTGAATGTGTCTGAAGTTCAGACAGTTTCCCCAGTTTGGTATCACAGAAGCAAATCTAACTTCAGGAATCAGGAAGTCCTAAACACTCAACAGTCTGTTACCTAGCAACCGACGCCGGCGTTTTTTGAATGAAACAACAACTATCGCTGAACTTAAAGCCGGATGTCTTGGAGGTGTTGGCGACGCTTTAGTCGGGACATTCCAGAGAGGCGGCGGGCCGAAACGGCCGACTCGGCGTCCGCCGTCTGTCCTGCGGCCAGCTGATGCCGTCAGAAAGAAACTCCGTCCCTCTACAGTGAGACCGAGAGAAAGGCGGCTGTTGCGTCCAGAGAGCAGAGGAACGCCGGCTCCTCCTGCGCTCCGTCGCCGACCCCGGCAGGAACCCCAACCTTAATACTGAAGGTAGATAATAGGACGCGGGCTGCGGGCTGACGGCGGCGTGTTGTCATGCGTTTCTGCTCTCTAACCATCTCCTGCTGTCAAAGAGTCGCATTAGGATGCTTCTGTTCCACCAAACCTTCACTTCACGCTACATAAGGAGACGTTACCCGGCGTCACGTCGCAGCCGGCCTTTCTGCGTCGGTTCGCGAGTTCGGCCTGCTGACGTGGCGTTGATCTGGTAACGGCAGTAAAAGAGCCGCGCGGACTAAACGAGTCAGAAAACAGAAGCCGGAGGAAAAGCTGAACACTTCTCCTCAAGTTAGGAGAGTTTATTTAAGACGCTTCTGTAAAAGCCGTTTCCTGTCTTCAGTTAGTTCCTATCACCATGGTTACCCAGCAGTTAGGATAGGATCTGCTGGTTTCTGAAATGCGGCCCCAGGGGCCCAATGTGATGTACTTACTGTATGTATAATTATGAGTTACATATTTACTGAAATGTGGTGCATTCTCAAGTATATTATCCTCTAAGTGTAAATCTGACAGCTTTAAATACAACTTATTACACAAAAAAATGTTCAAAATACATTTTTAAGAATATTGTACTTTCTTGTGGCCCTTCTATGAGAGGACAGTACCAACAGTGGCCCCTGCTTCAGACTCTTTAAGGAGCCGGTTACAAACTGACGAGCCGCCGTCAACCTGGAACAGAGAGACCGGCTCCGTCGTCACATCATCATCATCCACGCCGGCTGCCATCAACACGATGAGCGAGCGCAGTAAATACATCTCTATAATGTTTATACTCGCTTTGTGTATTTTTACTTCATGTGTGTTTTTACTCTGCGTTCCTGTGAGAGACTCCAACGTCCACATCTTTGCAACAGACAGAGTCAAGTTTCTGATTTCTTTAATTACAGAGAAACTTTTTCACACAGGAAAATGAATCACTTTTAATTTTGATCATTTAAATGAACAGTTTTATCAATAAATCATTCTCTAGACGTCTCCGATGTTTCTGTCTGTTTTCTGTCTCAGTCGTCACAGTTTTCTAACGTCTAACAGACAAAAACATTCCTTGATTAATCCTCACGGTCAGACAGAACACAGACGTCCGTCCTCTCCTGTAAACCCGTTTGATGTGAATCAGTAAGAAGTGTTTGTTTCCTCACGACTCCTCCTCACAGCTGCTCCGTCACGCTGTTGCTGTAATTTACATAATTTAATTTAGCGCACACAGATCTCACACCTCCTTATCACAAATAATCATCATTCAACAAATCGATCTCAGAAAACAAACTAATCAAACTTCACCAGCCTCTGAATATTCATGAGCAACCCTCCGCCCCTCAGAGCCGTCCAATCAACACAGCTAATTTGGATTTCGGTAATGAGGTTTGAACTGACTGATTTGGTTTCTCACGCTCCGTCCTGATTGGCTGAGCAGTCCTGGTTAATCACAGCGCGTTTTAAATTCAGCTTTGCCTCGTTTAACTATAAATATGTGGTTTATTTTAGGAAAATAATAGCAGGACAGCTAACAGGTTTAAATCTGAAGCACGTAGAGGAGAGGATTATCACTTTCGTATAATTGTGAATTTTCAGACATTGTTTTTCTTTGGTGAACACGTTTAACCCTTTCATACCCGGCTGTGATGCATCAGGACACCATCACAACATTTAGGATTCCTTCCAGCAAACTTCACGCTGCTCTTGTAACTTGGTATTAAATAAATAAAGCGATATTAGTGAAAAGCTTCTGCTGCCTTCAGGTTTACAGAAGAGTCCTGAAAGTGTCATGTTTGAGGTAAAAGCTGGTATTTTTGGCACAAACGGACCTCCGTACAATCTCATTATCTTAATGATTTAAAGCACTTTCCCTCCAGAGTCTGTTACTCCGAGTTGCTGAATCACAGCGATGATTATTCCCATGTGACCTGAACGCAGCATCAGAGCGTCGTCCTGATGGAGTTTTCGGAGGTCGATCTGAGCAGCTGGAAACATCCCGCTGAGCGAAAACTGTCCTGATGGCGTTTCTCCCGCGCCGCGCCCTCTTTGTCTTCTCTAACACCATTAGCAAAGTGCATGCTAACTCAGTTAGCTGAAGGATTGGGTGACGCTAACAGCTGAGAGAGCAGGCGGCGCGTTCACTGTGAACTCTGTCCCCTCGGCTCTCACATCATTACTCATCACTCTAATGGGGAGAGGCTCGAGGCCGAGGGACCGCCAGGTTCTCCGGCACCACCATCCTCATCTGACCGAGGGCCTCCGTACAGCTGCTCCCTCATTTAAACACAGGCGGCGTGCAGACACAGAGGGGCGGAGTCACCAGAACAATCGTTATTTTAGAGCTTAATAAGGATCAGATCATAAACTCATTCTGAAGTGATTTAGTGGCCAACAGGAGAAACACTGCTGCACATATTCAGGAGGTAAACCTTCCTCTCCCGGGACGGTGACTGGGGTCGAGGACTTCCTGCTTCGGGTTCCTGACTTCAAGTGGACGTGTGAGGTGTGAAATGTGAACAGAAGCACCATCACTGCTCATCACCACCTCCCAGATCCTGCCAGGAGCGCCACTTTGTGTTGTAAAGTGGAGGGAACATAAAGGTACAGACGAAACGCTGAAACGCTCTTCAGCTTTACGCAATAATAGGAATAATAACGGAGGATCAGTCAGAGTGTAATTACCAAATGTAGCGGGTTGGAAAAACATTAAATAATGGCGCATCAAAAGGGCGAAACGTAGTCTATTACAGAGTCGACAATCTACTCACAATCACTCATCCATCAGATCCACACCTGCAGCACCGGGCCAATCAAACAAAACCACATCTACTGTACAGAAAGCACCAGGTCAGTCAGCGCAGAGAGAACAGGCCTAGAAACAGCTTCAGGAGTAACACTGTTAGCTGAAGATGATCAAGCTACCTCATCTTTAGATCTTCAGTTAAATATCCGTGTTGTTTCGATGAGGGAGAGAACGGAAAAGAAGAAACTGTGTCCAGATTCTGTTAAAGTTCCGGATCAGAGCAGGTTTTTGGGTCTGTAAATAACATCAGTACTGTCGAGACCTGCTCTGAAGAGCGCTGTGAGACAACTGCCGCTGCATAAATAAAACTGAACTGAATCAGTAGGTTAATCTTTTTGGAGATTAGTTTCTTCTGTATTTAAATTGCATCGAATATTTTCTTATTGTGCAAATAAACATTTTCATCTGTTAGTTAACATTTCTATATATATATATATATATATATCGTTGCAAGATATTTTTCAGGATGGAATCAGCCATTTCAGGAGGTAGTGTTGGCATGTCCCCAGAGTCCCCGGAGTCCCCCAGAGTCCCCGGTGTCCCCGGTGTCCCCCAGAGTCCCCGGTGTCCCCGGTGTCCCCCAGAGTCCCCAGAGTCCCCGGTGTTCCTGCTTCCAGCTTCCTGCTTTTTTTCGTATCACCTCCGTCAAGGTTCGGACGCGAGCTGAGGGAAACTAAAATGTGACGTGAAAACAGGACAGACTGCTGATTGGTCAGAGAGAATATTCACTATTCACTGCATCATCACTGCTGCACCAGACAGAGGCAACAGGAAGTTTTATATTTTAGTTTTGGTACGTTATTTAATCACTAAATCCACTTCTGAGAAGTTTTGAGATGAGAAATCAGCTGTGTAGATTTACAACGCTTTAACTTAAAAGAGAGAAAGCTGTTTGTGGCGTCGCTATGACGACAGGCTGGAAAATGGAGCACGGCCAAAACGGAGTCGAGGCGAGCTGGTCCTGGAAAAACGCCATTAGAGACACATTGCTGCTGATACTTGGTCTCCCACAGAGAACGAATGATTGTGTGACAATAAACTGGAAAAGTACAGACGTGTTATCGGCTTAATGTAGTTAAAGAGAAGAAGAAGAAGAAGAAGAAGAAGAAGCACGTCCCTCAGAGGAGGCTGTTATCATGCGTCTGGTTATTAGTTATTGTTTAAGCAGCATTTAACTGCTGCAGTTTGTCCGGGTGGAGCTCAGCTGACCTCGTTTCTCTACTGTTGAAGTTTCGTCTTTCACAAAGCGCCGTGTCTTCTAAATAAAAAATATATAAAGTCTGAATCAGTAAATTACCCAGGTCAGATAAAGGCAGTAGAAAGTACGGAGCAGCGTCTCTCCTCCTCCGTCAGCTGCTGTTTGTGATTTAATCGATGACTCGGCAGAAGATGAATCAGACTTCACATCCTGCCGAGAGAAACAGCCGTCTGGCAGTCAGGTTCTCACGTCGTCTTTGCTCACATGCTTTTCAGTTCGTCCAGCAGCTGCGAATCTCCGAATATATTTCACCGTCCACACCTGTGATGTCACAGCTCCCAGCATGCCCCGGTGTGATTTACTGTTTAATCTGAGCAGGTCTCTGAAGGTCGGGCGTGGACGGGGACGGGTCGAGGTCGTCCGTCAGCCTCCAAACTGACCTGCTGACAGATTACAGCCTGAATGTCCTCAGCGTTAATGTGATCCAGAGACTGACGGAGCAGCTCCGGGTCTGAGCTGAGGACGCTTTAAAAACATTCAAGAGTTCAAGCTTTAAAGCAGAAATCTAGTTTTCAGTTTTTAACCTTTTCAGTAAAAAATATATTGTTTTTTATGACATTATTTGTCAGTTGCTTCATGATATTAACAGTAATTAAAGGTACAGTGTGTAATTTCTCCCACGTGCTCCGAACCACCAGGAGGCAGCACTTCCTCCCTCTGCTCCTCCTCTCTAATCACACGCAGAGCTGACCTTTAAAATAACCTCATGAAGGAAGCTTCATGTCTTCCTGGATTAGCGGGCGTCGCTTCTTCTGCAACAGTGGAGTCAAAGGACCGTCGTTTGTGTGATGGACGCTGCAGTGACTCAGTATCGCCTCCCGAGGCACAAAGTGGTATTACACCACAGGACGGCACAGGCTAGCTGGTTAGCATGCTAACTTTAGTAGATATTAGTGATGGGAAAAGTCACTCTTTTGAAAGTCTCGAGTCACCAGATCTCGTTCATTAAAATGCACTAATCTTTTTTTGTGTCATGTCGTCCATTTTAACTAGGCTGGTTATTGCGGCGCTGCAGCCCGCTAGTGGGCGATTTTTTAAAAAACAGTGCAGTTCTCAAACACAGACGGCGGCCTGGCTCGCTGTAATTGACAAAGTATAAAGCACAAATTCACCTCTTGATCTTTCTCTATCATGGTGAAAATGAAAAAATTACTCACTGAGACAAGCCGTTCCTCCTGAGTCACATCCAAGATCAGGTCAAACGAACCAAACGTTCTTTGAACGACACAACACTAGTAGATATCTCTGCAACACAACCAAGCAAGAACCTCTGGGTCTGAAAGTCATGTTGGTTCATTTTTTGAATGTTTTAAACTAAAATTCTGGCCAAATCTTACACACTGCACCTTTAAAGTTGATATTCTATTAGTGGCCGAGTCTAAAACGTGAGGATTCTGGACCAACCAAGACCGAGTCTGACAGTTTTTAACTTTAATATATTTTCCTCTTTTTGTATTAATCGTTTCTTTTCTGCAGCTTTGTAAAACTTAGCAAAAATGATCTGTAGATGGACTCGCTCACATGATGTGGAGTAGAAATGATTGAATTAAGGGCAGCCCATCAGGCAGCAGGGTTTTTCCCACAGCAGCAGAGAGCAGCTTTATTATTTCTGTCCCGCAGTCACATGATCGATGCCCTGCAGAGATAGCTGCCGCCCATTGTGCTGCTGTGTGTGTTAATGTAACCTGAGACTGTCCTGACAGGCTCAGCTACAATACCCACAGTGTTTCCCTGAGGCTCAGACAAGAAGCTACAAGCTGCAAGACAAAGCTATCTGATCTGATGTCCGAAAACCTGATCCTGCCCGCTGCGCACACACACTGAGACACACAGATGTTGGCAGAAACGTCCATCTTGTCCTTTGCTGCCGTTTCAGGAGCTCAGAACTGTGAAGACGCCCGTCGACACAGATCAGCTCTGCCTCTGTGTTGCAGACCTGAAGGTTCATCAAAACACAGAGACACAGGCCAAAGTAACTCAAACACAAAGAGACGTCTTCAGTCTGAACACACGCTCATCTGTTCTGTAGTGGAGCTAAACATGCAGCGTTCACAAGCTAAACTTTGATGATCAAACCGTTTAATAACCGTCTCAGGACATTTCCTGGTGTCGGGATGTTTAACGTGAAGCTAAACTCGGCGCTGCGCCACTTCAAAACAAAAGCTTTTATCTAAAATGCGACCGATGTCGGCTCTGTAACCACTGATGAACTCTTTAAAGGTTATTTTTACGTACATTTCCAGGATCAGATGGTCTCTGGGTTGGTTTCTCTGTGTCATGAAGTCCACACAGACGCAGACAAAGTGAAGGAGGAAGAAGCTGAATCAGAAAGAGGAGGAGGAAGCTTCACGCGTGTCCCCATTAAATAAAACACGGTGTATATAAACACAAAAGTATCTGCAGTAATGTTGCAGTAGTTCTGCAGTACTGACAGGAGTTATGGTGGTTAGAGATTCCTGAGCGGTGTAATATTCAGAGTATGTTGCTTCATGTAAGCTGAACATGTTGCGCACACACGTATAAATCACAGTTTGCATGTGGAGCTCTGTAACACTGATCTGTGGTTAGCCTAGCTTAGCACAAACACTGGCAGCGGGGGGAAACTGCTAGCATGAGGAGAAAGAATCTGATTCACATGTTGTCCTGAGCGCGCTCAGAGGAGAAACTGATATGTGGGGGGGGTTACCCAGAATTCCTCAGTGTGTGAAGTGAGGCTATAAACACCGGGACAGAGAGACCTTTCCAGAGTGCCAAGGGGGACTCAGAAGAATCTGTCAATCAAACTGCCCCCCCCCCTCCTTCACCCCACCCATTTCATTGACCCCGCCCCGCCCCCAAGCCCCTCCCCTCAGTCACAACAATACGAGGCGGCTGCTGCTTTGTGTTTTCTGATGTGAGAGGTGAAGCCTGTCAAATACCAACGCACACACACACTGTGACCCCTCCCCTCCCCTCATGTGGGACATGTGGCCCCTGTTGGCCCCTGTTGGCCCCTGTTGGCCCTCTATTATCTTTAGTCCCGTCAGTCATCCGACGCAGAGAAAAGGAGGTCGACTCTTCATAAATAAAATAAAATGAGCAGGACGCTCCTGGAACTCCTGGAAAACCTGGTATGACATGGTACTATCTTCAAGGCAGATTGCAAGTCCTAGACGAATTTACAAGGAAAAGCAAAGGGCTCCTGGAAACGTTTTGAATGTGCATACTTTGAATCCACGGCCTGATGAGTCAAGGACAGACAGGCTGAAGATGTTTGACAAGCTGTCCTGGAAAACCTTGGAAGCCTGGGAAATTGATATGCTTCATGGTCTTAGAAAAAAAAGTCCTGGACAAAGTAATGCAAGAATATCCTGGAAAATGAAGGGTTGGCCTGGAGAACCCCCCCCCCCCCTCCAGTCTCCTGAGGATTTAGGGCTTTCTGCCAGCTGGCAGCTTCTTAATCACTTCTGTTAGCTGAGAGTCCGGCCCGACGCCGGCTCGCTGCTCGCTGCTTCACACTCCTGCTGCAGAAAATCCTCTGAAATCAGCTTACAGACAGTTTAGACTGAGATACATGAGACGGAGGAAATCTGACCCTCATCCCTCCATCACCTCCCTCCTCCATTAACGGCCAGGTATATTAACTGCTGCCTGGATATCAGCTCCACAGTTAGCCTAGCTTAGCACAAAGACTGGAAGCGGGGGGAAACTGTTAGCCTAGCTCCATCAAAAGAGAAAAAAACTCCCAGTCTGTCTGGGACTGGACCAGTCAAGTCTCTGAGACACAAAACTACTTCCTGTTCCCACTCTGACCTTTGCTCTACTTCCTCTTGGTGTCCTACTTCCAGCTGATGTTCAGCATTAAAGCTGGTTGGCTGCTGTAATCCCTGTAACATGATGTGAACGAGGGCTTCGCGCAGACGCCAGGAGTCATTAGAGTCCGGCCCGTCACACTCGAGCGTTATCTCCTCCTGCTCGGTGGTTTACATGGCTGCAGACTGTCAGCATGTTGAATTACAGCTCTGAGCTCTGTGACATCAGGTTTACAACCAGCGGTGGGAAAGAAACCAAGTACATTTACTCAAACTCCGTACTTAATTTTGAGGTACTTTTGAGTATTTCCATTTCCTGCTACCAGATACTTTCACCTGCTGCGAGAGACGTTCTGTGAGCTCAAACGGTTCCTCTCGTCCTTTCCTGAACTTTAACGCACCATAAACATTTTTAGACTCGTATCGTTGGTTTGGTATTTAATAAATATCATGCAATCCTTTTCTTTTCAACCTCTGTAAACTAAGAAGAAAACAAACACTGTCCAGCACCGTCAGAGCTCTACTTCCCTCACATACGCCCCCGAACAATATGGCAGTGTGCGAGTAAAGATACAGCCTACTGTTAGTACTTAGCAACAGGGTACGATTAAATGAACATTATACTTTTTATTTAATGTAGAGCTGTCTCCGACTCAGTCATGTGTTTGTGTGCACGGCGATTGCGAGCTGAAGCTAAACTGACGCTTATCGTTGTCCTCGCTCTCTCTCCTGCCATTCACCCGTCTTTTATTCGTTCTACATGTTCATTTACAGCATTAAACGTTGAAATGTTTATTGTAATAGGCTTTATAGATAAATGCAAATTAATCATTTAAAAATCATACAATGTTATTTTTTGTATTTTTGTTTTAGATTCCGTCTCTCACAGTTGAAGTGTACCTATGATAAAAATCATAGACCTCTACATGCTTTGTAAGTAGGAAAACCTGCAAAATCAGCAGTGTATCAAATACTGGTTCTCCCCACTGTACGTGTGCTGTGGGTGGAGCCTCTGCAGTGGACTCGCGTGCTCCTCCTGAGAGCAACACGCTCCCCTCGTTCTGCTTAATATTCTTCAGTAGTCTTGTTTAAATAAAGCGTGGCGTGGGCGGGTGCCGCTGGTGGATCGTGTCTTTGCCCCCGGTTCTAAAAATACAAGTCCCGCAACGCGATGCACCAACGCCTGCAGAGTTTTCTCTCATCACTGCGACGAGTGGTCAGTGTTTCAAAATCCTCGTGTCAAAGCATGCAGAGTGTGCAGATACCAGGGTCTGCACCTCCTACACAGTTGTACTCAAGTGTTGGCTGCAACTAATGACCATCTTCTAATCTGTTAATTATTATTTGATTAGTCACGATTATTTTTGTCCCCCCCGCCCTAATTAAACCAGTTAACTAATTAAATATCTTTCAAGTGACTCACTGATCTCCAACACGCAGCCTGACGAGATAACGTTACCATTAAGGTTTACTATTCAGAATGAACACCAGTATCAACGCCAGGGGGAAACCAGAGAAGAAGATAAGACAGCGTCGGCCGATTTATACAAACTTTAAAACTTTTAACTGTTTAAGATTTTTGCTTTGGAACTATATAAAGTAAAAGCAAATTAAAAGCAATTACTAAAACCACAACTTTACACTAACAGTGTCTATTTAGAACAATAAAGCAACAGGCAGCTTTCACGCTGCTGCAGTTTATTTATCAAGAGTGCTTATAGGTTTTAGGCTATAACTCAGTGGAGAACGTTCTGCAGGCTGCATCACGAGCCAGATGTTCCTGTACTTTGAACCTTTACTCATTACTTTTTAAAGCTGGGTCTCCGACAATCGCAGCGTTGTGTTGGACAGATTTGTGCTGTGGTGTTCATGAGAGAGAGAGAGAGAGAGAGGATGTGATGCGCGAATGAGCTACGGCGCTGATCTGCAATCAAATAAGATTTTAAATAGGCCTGGTAAAAAAAAGGAAAATCCGAATGTGGCGCTCAGCGTTGATACTGCGGCGGGCCGCCACCAATAAATGTGGGAAACACTGCCTTTCCTCTGCTGCAGTGGTCTGAGTAACTGGAATCAGGGCGCTCTGAGCCGGCCGGCCGCCACCGCTAACATTGCAGGCGCTTGTGGAGCTTCAACCTCGAAAACGTTTGAGCACATTTTCGATTCGCTTTCGATCAACTTTGGTAAAACTGCCAATATTCAAGTTCTGCACAGCTGATTTGTCTCCTCAAAACTGCTCAGAAGTGTATTTAGTGATTAAATAGCGTACAAAACGCTTCTCGCATTAAAAGCTTCTTCGTGAACGGTCTCACAGTCAAGCAGTCGTGGCCGGCAGTGGAAGCGATGCTGCCCCAGCACTTCCTGTGGTGCACTGCAGTTAGAAACGAACAACCAGAAATGTTCCCGACATGAAGATCGCTACCTCTCCCTTAAACAGCATCTCTGTAAGGTCGCGTCGACAACGAAATTTCACGTTGACTAATCGTTGCAGCTCTACTCAAGTGCTGTACTTCAGTAAATATTTGAGGTACTTGTACCTGTATTTTCTTTTCATGCAACTTTCTCCTTCTACTCCATCTCAGAGGGAGATATTGTACTTTTTACTACATTTACCCGGCAGCTTTTTAAAAGGTCTGATTTTTACACACAAAACACATGAAGAGTTTATAAAATTTGATGTTTAGTTATAAATTAAACTCCAACAGTTTATACAAGTACAGCTGGTACTTTAGATGATTGACAGAAAATTAATTGCAAACTATTTAAAAAATCGTTTTCATTTCAGGTGATTTGCTGTTTTAATCATTTTGAGGTTTGGACTGACAGAACAAACACTGAGGAATAATAATCTAATCTAAAAACATTTTACTGCATCGAGTACCTCTAATACTTCCAGTATAGTTAGTACATTTTTCTGATTATACTCACTCGCAGTATAAATATGAGCTCTAAATGTCTTTGTATTTGCTGAGCTCTGGCTCTAGAAATCATTTCTCTGTCGCGCTCACAGTGTCCTGTTCTGTCACCTCGTTATCTATGAAGCAGCTGAAAGTGTTTCCTGTACGCTCAGAGTCCGGCTGAGATCGTTCACACGGAGACTCCCTCCACGTCACTGCTAATTAAAACACTGGCAGGTAAACTCAGGTGAACAGGCTGCACACATGACCTCGCCTCCGGAATCACCACGGCAACCTCTTTCTTAACGAGCGGGGAAAAAACTGCTGACATCAGCGAGGGAAGCCTCCAAAAATATTAGAAACTGAGCTGAGCACGGTTGGCGGCCACAGGCCTCCGGATTCCCTCTGTCCTCCCTCGTTGTCCTCCCCCTCTCTCCCCCCTCTGGTGCAGCTTTGAACGTGGCCCTGCGGCGGCGCGGCGGCCGCGGTCAGACTCTCTCTCTCTGTCAGTGTAAAAGCAGGCCGAGCGAAGTGGCATCTCGTTAGCACTTCAAAGCTCGTCAGGTGGTGGGGGAGGGGTGATGGAGGTTAAACTGTATGGGAGGGGAGGAGAAAGAGGAGGAGGAGCGT